CTTTTATTGCTGCGTCTCCTGCCTGGGTTATATTGGGTGGAGGGAGAGAGTGAAGATGTCTAGAGAGGGTCCAGATCCCATCCTCCCCTACAGCCGGGGGGAATCGCCCCTGCCCCTTCTGAGCAAGGCACCCGTGGTTGTGTGTGGGGTGTCCTACTTGGCTTTCTTGTGAGGAGACCCTCCCCCTTCTCGATCCCTGTCCCCATGGGCTTAAAAGGGGAAGGAGAGACAATATCTTGAAAAAAAAAACTATTTTTTTCCTTCTCCAGCCAAAGTCTCCAGGGGCTCACAGGAAATCTCTCACACCACACATTTTACTAAACGTTGGAAAAGCTCCTTAAGGCTACCCGTTCCTGGGTGGGAATTGGCCTCAGGGCGAGTGCAAGGAGGAAGAAGAGGAGGTAAGGCTGCAAAGTGGCGGTGGGTGGGGGGCAAGGGGGGGTAACCCATGGGCTTGGGAGGAGAGGATGGGGGTCCCCTGCCTGGGAGGAAGCTGATCCAGGCACATTCCCTGGGAGATGCCATCTCCAATGTCCTCTGAACATCCTTGCCTTCTGCATGCAGACACAGAGAGAGAGAGAGCTATTGCCCTTTCGGAATTCTTAAGAAGGCCATGATTAACCTGCTCTTGTGATGATGATCTGGACAAGAGCGAATCAGAGCCATCTCAGGACCAGATTCCAGACTGGGGATCGTGGGCAGGAGAGCTGGGACATTTTCCAATCTTCCTGGCTGGAAGGCTTCCTTCTTATGTTTACTTAGTTATTAATTACGCTTTTACACCACCCTATTATGAACAAACACTCTGTGGCTGGTGTACTGGGATCTCAAATTACAGCCAACGGTAACAAAATCAAAAATTAACCCATAAATATATAGGCATAAAAATAGATGAAGATTGTTACATTAAAATTAAAACCCACAGTATAACACTCCCGGTATCTACCTAAAATAACATGGTGGAGGCTATGGCAAGTCCTCACAGGTTTTAAAGTGAAAGGCCATTAAATAACTCCTGAAAAATCCCATTTTAAATTTTTTTCCAAAGGTCCTGGGGGGGGAGGGTGTTGAGCGAACCGCCAAAGATAGCTTGTTCCAACAGAAGGGCAGAAGACAATGCCCCATTTATAGTTCTAGATTTCGTTGCCTTTCTTTCCATCACCAATTTCTGTGACAAGTGTGGTAAGGAGATACAAGCCCATAATAATAAAGAGTTTTTACCTCAGTCCTTGAGATGCCTTTCTTCTTCCTCCTCCTCCTCCTCTCACCTTCCTCCTGTTTATTTCCAACCTGACTTTCCATTGTCTTGCCCGAGAAGATGACCTGTCCGGAGGAAAAGTTTTTGGTTTCCCTTAGCTGAGAAGCCTCCAAATTGATGGGGGTCCCCCTGCCTTTTCAGGCAGGACATTTATTTATTTATTTAACTTATATGCTGCCCACACTACCCAAAAGTCTCTGGGCAGCTTACAACATTTAAAATACAATAAAAAGACAAAACATATAGAGCTTCTCCATCTTTGGCTGCAGAGAATATAATCAATCTGATTTCGATATTGCCCATCTGGTGATTTCCATGTGTAGAGTCGCCTCTTGTGTTGTTGGAAAAGAGTGTTTGTGATGACCAGCTTATTCTCTTGACAAAACTCTATTAGCCTTTGTCCTGCTTCGTTCTGAACTCCAAGGCCAAACTTCCCTGTTGTTCCTTTTATCTCTTGGCTCCCTACTTTAGCATTCCAGTCCCCTAGAATGAGAAGAACATCTTTCTTTGGTGTCAGTTCTAGAAGGTGTTGTAAATCTTCATAGAATTGTTCAATTTCAGTCTCCTCAGCAATGCTGGTTGGTGCATAAACTTGGATTATTGTGATGTTGAATGGTCTGCCTTGGATTCGTATTGACATCATTCTATCATTTTTGAGATTGTATCCCATTACAGCTTTTCCCACTCTTTTGTTGACTATGAGGGCTACTCCATTCCTTCTACGGGATTCTTGTCCACAATAGTAGATATGATAATCATCTGAGCTGAATTCGCCCATTCCTGTCCATTTTAGTTCACTGATGCCCAGGATGTCGATGTTTATTCTTGCCATCTCCTGTTTGACCACCTCCAGCTTCCCAAGGTTCATAGATCTTACATTCCAAGTTTCTATGCAGTATTTTTCTTTGCAGCATTGGATTTTCCTTTCACTTCCAGGCACGTCCACAGCTGAGCGTCCTTTCGGCTTTGGCCCAACCACTTCATTAGCTCTGGAGCTACTTGTACTTGTCCTCCGCTCTTCCTCAGTAGCATGTTGGACGCCTTCCGACCTGAGGGGCCCATCTTCCAGCGTCATATCTTTTAGCCTTTTGTTTCTGATCATGGGGCGTTCTTGGCAAAGATACTGGAGTGGCTTGCCAGTTCCTACTCCCGATGGATTGCGTTGAGTCAGAACTCTCCACTATGACCTGTCCGTCTTGGGTGTCCCTGCACGGCATAGCCCATAGCTACTCTGAGTTACTCAAGCCCCATTCACCACGACAAGGTAGCAATCCATGAAGGGGTTTTTCCTTTATAGAAATAGATAAATACTTATAATTTCTATACATCAATTGGTTTCTATCTCTTGTGAATCTAATTCTTAAATATTTAAAACAGGATTAACAAAGATTTATATTAGACATTGTTTCGATTTCTTTTTCTTCTGCTATAGGAATATTTATATAGAACAATTTTGATTACAGTGGTTCCCCGACTTAAAAACGCCCCACCTATGAACATTTCGACTTACGAATAGCTCCTCTTGCAAAATTTTGCTTTGACTTCCGAGTGGAGTGTTGACGTAAGAACAGAAAAAGGGGGAAAGGTGTGAAATTCAAACTGTTGGTGGTGAAATTCAAACTGTTGGTAGCTCTTTCGCCCCAGTGGTTAGATCAGGGGGTCAGGGAACTTTTTAAACTATGGAACGTGGGTCAGAGGGACTCCTGGGGATGGGGAGTGTGGTGGCTCAGGATCCGTATCGTCGCCGCGGGCAGGACACCGGTACACTCTCTGCCCATCCCTTGTGTGGGTCTACTCATGAGTAAGGGCTCCCTCCACCATGGTCAGCCCCAGCACTATCACCAGTTGCCGGCTGCCATCCGCCGGGGAGTGAGTGCCATCAGAGAAGGGTTCAGTCTGCCTGGTAAGGTGCTGCTTTTTGCTTTTTAAAAACTTCTGAGTGGGTTTTGCAGAGTGGGTTTGGGCTGAAGGGGGGGGTTATGTTTCTATGCTGTGTTGTTGTTTGTTTTTATTTTTTTTCAGTCCCAGTGTGGGGATTGCTGAACGTTTATTTTTGGGTTTGATTTGTTTGTTTGTTGTTTATTGCAGCCTTCGGGGATTGCTCTGTTTATTTGTTGTTGTTTTTTTAAAGCCCCAGCGCCTTCTGATTGGGCTTTCTGTGTGCTTTATTTTATTATTGGTTTTGTTTTGTTTTGTTTTCACTTAACAAATATCTTCTGGGATGGATTAAGTTCGTAAGTCAAGGCACCACTGTAGTTGAGTTTTAGTTCAGTGTGTTAAAATTTTCCAATAATTTTTAAAGGTTCTATAGTTTTTAATATGCTTACCAAAATGAAAGCATGCACATTCAATTATACATTTTAAAAAGATGTACAGACACATCCTCTCCCCATACTTACACAAATCAGCTGTGAAGCCATCGCATCATGGTGATTTCCCCTTTTCAATTTTTTAAAAGCTTTGTTTATTTCAGTAAAGGTGCAAATCAAAACCTTGAACTTGACCCAGGGTGCAAGTCAGGATGGGGGATATGATTGGGTTCATTAAACAGTTGAAGCAATTCCTCTCCTTTGGCAGGAAATAACGATGGAGTCTTTTGTTGAACATTTTACTTTTTATTAGAATCAACAACAGGCGATTCAACAATAACTTATGTGGTTCAAGCAGATCAACATTTCAAGAAGGTTCAGATTTAGATAGTTAACTTTTTAAGAAGTCTCTCTTCAGTTACTGCGGAGCTGGTCCAAAGTGCTCCTGGTTGCTGGGTTTCCTCAAAGGAGCACTCTTGACTGCACATATAGTCGCACAACAAGGGTGGTGGGCCCAATCTCCCTCCGGACATGGACTGGTATGGATAGAGTCTGATTACTTTGTATTCGCGAAGGCTCTATTCACCTTCTTCGAGGGAGCTTGCCCTTGAGGGAAGGCCACCACTGTCCATTCTAGGTGGTCTGGTCTCGTGTCGCTCACCTCCATTCCTTTTGGATCTGGCAAGAGTCCACCCACTTTTAAATTCGGAAAGTTCTCCAGCAACTTCCATGTTTTATCGTACACACCTTTATTCTCCTTTCTCATTTCCCCCCATCTTTATTCCATCCTGACTTTACCGGAACCCTAAACTTGTCTCCCACTTCCACTCTCTTCACCTTCCTCCTCCCAGACTGACATTAACTTGGAAAAGATAAAGATTCCCCTTGACATTTAGTCCAGTCATGTCCGCCTCTAGGGCGCGGTGTTCATCCCTGTTTCCATGCCATAGAGCCAGTGTTTGTCCGAAGACAGTTTCCATGGTCACGTGGCCAGCGTGACTAGACACGGAACGCCGTTACCTTCCCACCAAGGTGGTACCTATTTATCTACTCGCATTTACATGCTTTCGAACTGCTAGGTTGGGAGGAGCTGGGACAAGCAACGGGAGCTCACTCCATCACATGGATTTGATCTTACGACTGCTGGTCTTCTGACTCTGCAGTATAGTCTTCTCCGGTTTAACCCGCAGCGCCACCACGTCCCTTTATGTGACATTAACTGCTTCTCACCTTTTCCTCCCTTTGCTTCCTCAACCAAACAGATCTCAATCTCCTTTTTTGTCACAGTTGGCTCCTCCTTTAGCACTTAACTTTTCCCTCTGTCCTGTTACACCTTGGTTTACATTCTTTTCTGTTTCCATCTTCATATTCTGAGGGGACGGCTCACTCTCTTCTAATTGCTCGACATCATTTACTCCTTCACAGGGGAGAAAGCCTTTTCTGTAATTTCTGAATCAGGACTGAGGTTTTGAATCCAATGCCCAAGATTTCATTGCCAAACTGATTGCCCCCAAGATTTACCATACACATCAACAGAGAGAAAAATAGTGTATTTTATTTTGCCTGTTGAGTTATGTTTCCATATAATGTAAAATTACAATGAAATATCACAAAGCAGATGGGAATTAAGCAAATGAGAAAAATAATATATTAGAATGTTATAAAAGGATGAAAGTGACTTTAAGCAGTTCATTTAATGATAAAAACTGTATTAGTAAGGTTCCTTTGGCACATACGACATATATGTACAAACACATAGAGCAGACCTCTTTATTTATAAACAGAATCTGAGTGTAACAGCCAAAGTCCAAAACTTCAGATTGTTCTAATGATCCAGGCCTGTTTAGTAGCAACCCACTGAGTTCTGAAAAACACACAAGGTTCGTTCTGGCATTTCCAGATAGTGTCAAAATAGAAGGGTTCAGATTTGAAGCAGATCAATAGAAAAGGGGAAATGCCTCTCTGGAAGTGTGAGGGTTCCATGTCCACACTCCACCCACTCGATCTACAACAAAATTTTGTGTTGATTATAAGCTCAAAAGTGTGATTGTTCAGGTTTGATCATTGGCTTCAATGCATCTAGTAAATCACACTGGAGTAGGCCCGTTGAATCAGTGAGGATTTGATGACACAACTCCATTGATTCAAAAGGATGTACTGTAACTATGAGTTACTAGTCCTTTGTAGTCCTTTGTTATCATTTAATCAACCTTTTATTCTACAGGAAAAGTATCAGTTGAATGTAAACTCTTTTAACCATAAAAATTGCATTACATATTACTGACATGTTTTATACAGTCAACCCTAGACTTACGAACGGCCCTACTTGCAAACAATTCAACTTACGAACCGCCCCTATAGGGAAATAGGGAACCCAACATGTGAACTTCCCTCGAGTTACGAACAGAAAAAGAAGTGCCCCCTCCCTCCTCGCCTCTCAGCTGATCTTAGAGGCTTCTGGAGGGGAAAAAAGGTCAGAAACTTAAAAATAAATAAAAGAAAGTCACTTACCAGGCCTTGGTAGCCCCCGAACTGCAGGAAAAAGAGCAACAAACAGCTAAAAGCCGGCACCCAGCAAGGAGCCTGGCAGCTATTTTGTGCTTTTCTCCACTCCTGCCCCCCCTCCCTGCCTAACAGTTGATCGGCTGGCTCTTCAGAGGCTTCCAGAGGCTAGCTCTTTACTTAAAAAGGCTGGGGAATAAAGCTGGAGGTAAAAAATTGCTGCTTTTCCCTTGCCCCCAGGAGGCTTCTGAAAGTGGGGGGAGCTTTATTCCCCTGCCTTTTTAGGTGCTGAGCAAGCCTCTGGAAGCCTCTTAAGAGCCAGCCAATCAACGCATTAATTAATTTTCAATGCATTCCTATGGGAAATTTGGTTTCAACTTAACAAATGTTTCAGCTTACGAACGGACTTCCAGAACGGATTAAGTTTGTAAGTCGAGGGCCCACTGTAATTGAAATACAGTGGTGCCTCGCATAACGTTTGCTTCGTTTAACGTTTTTTTCGCTTAACGTTTATTTTTTCAGAGTCAGATTGTGCTTCGTATAACGTTTTTCCCTATGGGCGATTTTCGCATAGCGTTTTTGGGACCATGCTTCGCTTAACGTTTTTTGTTTTAGGTCCCCTGCTTCACTTAACGATGTT